TTTTTTTTTTTTGTTTTTTTTTTGGGAGTGTTCAGGCAGAAATGACAATATTCTCAGCTTACTGCCACACCGTTATTCTCTGCATAACACCTCCCTCGTCACCTGCATCCAAATAAACAACTATTCGTGTAGCACACTCAAATTCCGAATGTGTTTGCAACTTATTTTTGTCCAGAACTTCACTGCACAAAGCTCAATGTACCACGTGGCTAACAAATATTTTGTATTAAAGGAAGGAGTTAGTAAGTGTAATTATATACAGGCTGCTTCAAAAGATTACTGCCATAAAATGACTGCTGCCTGAGGCTCCACTGACTCAATCAGCAGTGAGAGAGCAGCCACTCTGTCTTTTACTTTTTCTACTTTCAGCTCACAATAAGCCTGCGCTAAATTAATGAATTCCTACCTTTTCAGACATTTGGTCTCTTATTTAAATATTTACGTTTGAACTTACTCAAAACAGTTTCTAGCCTTGACTGTGTACAACAATTCTGATGACACAAACTCCGAGAAAGATTAAAAACCGGTGCAAAACAGATGGGAACCTTTGATTATCAACATTAAAAACACTTTTTTTCATTTTGTTGTACATTGCACTGAATTAAGCCCGTCAAGCAGCTGAAACAGTTCTAGGGAATGTGCTAATTATCCAAACCTCTTTGTGATTCAACAGTTTTTATTCATTATCAGCACAAAGTGAAAACAAAACAAAAAACAGAATCCCATACATTTACAAATCATTACATACATTTACAAATACATCAGCAGCTGTTGCTGTAAATTAACGTCGTTTCATGCCATACCACAAGGTGGCCATATCTGTTAACATGGGCATGTGAGCTAAGAAGCGGTGAGATACTCGTTCTTCCGGCTGGCTAAGATTGAATAATAAAAGTACGTTGTAGATCATAAAATGACTCTTTCTTCATAAATAAGGAGACAAACAAAACACATATATGGGAAAAGGAGGAGAGAAAGACCACCAGAAGGAAAACCCCTCAAGTATTTACAATCTTTTCACCCACAGATTTCTAAAGATAAGAGACAAATGTGAACTCCCATCCTTTGTGCT